GTGCAGTACATAATCGAAAGAGGAAAGAATGTTCTACATGGATGTATGGATCTTCTCCGGTGGGTTGAAACTTTATTGACATAGTTGATAAATATGTGTGCTTGTATCACGGTGTGTGTAAGTGTGTCAGCTGACATTTTATCAACTACCCGCACTTAATTAACCAATTAAGGCGTCATATTCAACCGCAAGGTGTACTCCAGTGGTGGGTCTTCAGGAAATGGGGTGCTTTTTAACGCGCCTTGTCATTCGTTTTATTGCGACACTTGGCGCAAATTGCCCAATACATTGTGACCTTTCTAAATTTTTATGCCGGTGCTTATAGTTACTCTCCTCTGGACGACCAGTCCTGTTAACGCTGTAAATGATAAATTGATTTTGTGCTGGCAACATTTTCAAGAATTGTAGAGCTGACCAAGCGCTCCGAACAGGCTTCGTATACGTGGTGTCACGTTTTCTTTGCGGCATCTGCCCGGTTTTATCGCTTTCAAACTGCCAAAAGTTACCAGGTTTTATCGATTCCCATACCATCGGCAGTGCCACTGCCACTTTCTAGCCCCTGCCTCGAGTGGCAATAACGAAAACTGGCCAGTAAAATTAATGAAACTTTTGCACTACATGCTTTGGGTACACCGGTGCAGGACCAGGGCACATTGGACGGTAATAGATTGGGCCTGAATAGAACGCAAGCGGTTATGGACGCCAACAATGTCAACGGAATTGGACAGGGCATCAAAGCGGTTCAAGTAAGACGGCCTGTGATTGGATTTAAACTTCCGCCAGTTCCTCCCGCACAAAACCCAAAACCTGCACCGCAGCAGCCAAGTCCTCCTCTTCGGAGACCATTAGCCGGGTGAATCGGACAGGGGTTAGCGGACGTTCAGTCGCTTGATTTAGATTTAAAACATAATAAAATGTTTTCCAACTGACGGCATATTATGTATTTAGCAACAGCGACCAACGAGGCGGCTTTTCAGATGATTTTTTTGCGTTAAATTTCGTAAAGATTGTGTATCTGTGGATCTGTGATAATCCCACAGCTGCATGAAAGTAGAATTTCAATTTTCTTTCTTGTCATCGCAGTTCCGAATAAAAATTTAATGTTAGCGTGACAGGTATTTGCATTCGCCGAGAAAATCTTGTAGAGTTGTACGAAGAATTATTTGTCCTCATTTACGGCGTACTCTAAACGTCGCTCTTTCCGCGACGGAAATAAGAGCCTGCGGGTTTCATATACCATCAGCAAGCGTTTTATGACACTCTTGCAGAAGAGAAGTGTTACCAGGGTCAGTACGGTTGTAATTCAGTAACGGTTAAACCGCAATCCGATAAGCAGCAGAAGTAGGTACTAGCACGGTATAAAGGTGTTCTCTGGTACTGAATGACATTGTGGAAAAATTCAGTACTTTTTTTTGCCGTCACACCTCATTAACATTTCTCGAAAGACAAAAGAAAGACTAATGGTCGAAACGGCCATCAAGTTGTACTTAAGCGTTTGGCAGTGATTTTAGGGCGATCAATAAAGGCTATAAACTTTTCACAGACTGAAAGTCATAGTAATATTTTACGCTGATTCTGAATCTGTAATTTGTTTTTCGAAATTCTAAAAAACATCTGAGTCGAGTAAAGTAGTAGAAAAGTGGTTTGAATCGGACATGTGCACATAGGGGCCAGGCAGCCAGCGCGCTAGCAACAGTCTGTCTGCGCCCTACAGTTTCAATCACTCCGACTGCTACAACGACTTATATAAGGCTCACTCGTATTCATAATTCGACTTATGCAAAAGTCATAATTTGTTATCAAATCAATAACGAGCATAGAGAGCATAAAAAACTAGCAAGAGAATGTGCAATCCGTTTTGAAAAATTCCAAGCGGTTGAGGTTGTAGGTCGTGCCGCACGTTTTACGTCTTAATTACAACTCGTAGCCTTTGACAAAAATATGCCGAAAAGTACTGAACTTTCATCCAGCAGATTTCGACTTTATTCAGTACCAGAAATATTTATCTCTTATATACTTTGATACTAGTAAGCGGTGTACGCTAAAGCTCACACCAGCGAGGGAATACTAATATTTTTTAACGAGCCGATTAATTTCGTGAAGTTTCTTTCGGCTTTTCACATCACTAGAAGGTCCCAGTTCGACTGCGCTGTAAAATCAAATGCGGCGTACAAAGTTGTTTGACATGCCTACCACTGCACCCCTCACGACAGGCATGCATGCATTCATGACTGCAGCTCGGTTAACAAACCTAAGTGTTTCAATCCTTCCATGGTCAAGCTTCGCTAACGATCAGAATAGTCACCGGGTTAAAGAATTCGCTTAAAAAATGTAATAAGCAATGTTATTGCGGGATTAAAAGAACTGCACTGTCGAACGTTCCCCAATTAAAACTTTCCCCGCATGGCTTCCTTAATATTGATTTTATCACCTATTTGTTTAGATATTTTCACGTATGTGACATAATCCCAGCCATATCTGCATATTTTCGCCAAAAAAGCAACCTGTTATTTCTAATTTGGCTTCCGGGAAACAATAATACTACCGGGAAACTAAAAATAACAATGCTAATGGGAAATAAAACATAATTAACCCGGTGAGACATCTTTCTCACTAACCCAAATATCTTTTCACCAACCATCCGGCCGCTACTTGGACAAATGATTGCGGAAATTCGGTTTCAGATCAACATGCCCTGGAGAAGCACTTTGATTTGGTAAGTGCATCCGTGCGGAAGTACCGGTACATCCGTCCGTTCTTAAACCACATCGTTCAAACAAGCCTAAGAACCGGATTTCCTTCGCAGCGTAAAGCGTCAGTCATACAGTGTTTTATTCCATATGCGTATGTTTGTTCGTGAGCTCTAAGTCCGGCTTAATCCGGTGCCGTTATTATGGAACGGAACTCAAGGTATTGAACCATCACCTTGTCACCATATTAGTTTCAAATGCAGTTATTAAATCTTAACAATCAACTGCGAAAAATGCATACAGATATATACAAAGTACGACCGACTGCAGTTGCCGTGCGATCAAAGCGCTGCACCTTGCAAGCATCTGGTTATGTCGACTTCCCTGCAGCACGTTAACGCGCAGAAACGTTAGCAGTATATATAAACAAGGAACGCAGTACTTGCAGTGTACACTGTACAGTACTGACTACAACGGTGTATTTACAGAATGCATCCCTTGTTCGCCATGCTGAGACTATACCACGTCGTTTTGGTTTTCCTGCTACTGGTAGAAGCCACACAAGCCGGTCCGGCTCCGATGCCTCTCAGAACCGATGCAAAGCCAGTTGTCAACTCAGCACCACCCGCCACCCAAGCATGGGACACACCGGCTCTTAACCTGGGCACACTGGTCGGCAGGGGACCGCGCTTGAATGGAAAGCAGTTTGTAATTGATGTTAACGATGTCGCTGGGGATGAGGCGGGTATAGAAGGCCTTTTGAAGAGTTCGAGCAGTGGGAGCAAAGCGATCTCGGATATTTCGTAGATAACATCGCCTGCAGTATCCCTGGAAAGCCAAAAGTAGATAATAATAATGTGTTACTAGAAATATGGTGCCACCTGTCAACTGGATTAACCGCTATTTTGTTTAACAAAAATGGTTAAGTTAACACAGTTTCAAGCTGAGCGCTGTTGCTACGGACCAAGACCGACCAGTTACGAAATGTGCGAAATATCGCCAGAAAACATTCGACGGCTAAAATTCGAGAACTTCTGGTTAATCCTCACTGTTAATTAAAAAGAAGGAAATCACTATGGACACCCCTTTTCACCCCCGTTTCTTACAGCCACCCCTTGTCGCACCCTGTCTTTTATGACCACCCTTTTCTACTATTAATTAAATAAAGAAACCCTATTTTGGGTTTTTATGGACACCCATTTAATTTTTCATTTTTTCAGCTTTGCAGAGAATGCAACTGAGCAGGCACGTCGCTTCCGGTATCTGGCTTACTCTTTCCTTGGTTGTCTTTAGCTGACTGCATGTTATTAAAGGTTTTTCCGCGCATTCCAGATGTAATCCACGGTGGGTCTTTTGTAAACGCTTTTTGAGTTAATTACGGGAACGTCATTGGGCGCCAGTGGCGCATTTAAATTTAAGCCTGCCCGTCGACTCCCCGTTTTCAACTTCACCACCATCGAGCGATGCAGTGAACGTAACAGGATGCTTAATTTCTATACTCGTACATACAGAGTAGTTGAGCGACCATGGCAACAAATTGTATTTAACGTGTAAAGTGCTCGTACAAACTAAATAATTTTACAGTCCGTTGCACTTCTTGTTAAAGTGGGAATCGAAAACTTGCAATACGCGCATCGTAGAATACGTAATGACGATTATGATGGATTCTCCAATGTTAAAACATTAAATCATGTTTTGGTTGAAACAACCGGCTCGCGCTTGTTTCAGCACGAACTGCCGGCTACGGAAGAAATTAAAAAAACAAAAATAGTCAAGAAAAAAGTTTTGATTTTCAAAAGCTGATTGGTAGTGTGCCGGGTGAATTAATGGCAGTCGACTGACTTATAGCATATTTTTTTGTAGTTTGTTTTCATTATTTTTTATTGTAAATTTTTTTAATCCAAGATCGACTGGCTAGTTTGCACTTTTTCGGACTACACGTACTGGTAAAGACGTACTGACAGTTTTTCGATTTTTAGTGAGCGGATTCTTGCTAACTTACTGTCTGTGTTTGTCATTTTATTGTTAAGTGCTTACGTTCCAAGTCTTTAAAGCTTATTAACGACTTATGCAAACGGTAAACAGACGGTTTACACACCGAGACAAGAAGACGGTCTAAAATCGAAGATAAAGTAACGGAAAAAACGGTGCACTGCACGTTTCTGACAGATAAATGAGTTCCAGCAACTCTGGCTGTACAGACCAGTTATCGATAATCCAAATCATTCCTGACTGTGCGGCAATCTGACGATGGGCTGAAGAGATTCGCAGTAAACATGCCGCTGTTAATAAACAAACCAGGTGCAAGAGAAAGTAATGTTGGACTTTAAGCTGTTATAAGGTAGTCACGTTAACCGGACTCAGCATAAAAATTGCTCTTAAGCACCTTAGGCATGCGCTGCATTATATGCAATGGGGAAAATAATGTTCATCGAGCTGATAGATAAACTCGCATTTTCGAATTTCTCGATCACTTTCGTAGTTTTTGTCGGAAATATATTCTGGCGAATATGAGATTCCGCTAATTAAACATGTATTTATACGAAAACGAAACGCGGTATGTGTACTCATGGAATTCGGTGGACGTGGAAATGGACGGGCTGCTTCAGCATGGCCATATTATCGGCCTGGAAAATGTCGAAGGCAACGCTCCACGTCTCATTGTGGATTTCGGATGTCCAGAGCAGCGAGCGGTACCGGTTGATTACGGGAAAATTTTCGACTGCTCTGCCAACCACCGCACCAGAGAAAATTCGCTGAAATACAATTTCAAACACCTGAAAGATAAATTGTCCGGCGCCCTTGCTTCTGCCAATGATACCAATGACGTTGACGTGGAGGTTCTAATTCGGAACCATCCTAGTCATCCCTGGAAGTGGTATCTCGGTGAACTGCTAATGCTCGGGCTTCATATAAAAGAATGGGCATGCGTTGAAGTGATGCTGGGATGTTATCGCACACGAGAGCTGCTTCCGCAGGCGCAGATGCGCATGCCGCTGGCCAAAGCAGAACTCCGCCACCGACAACTCTCGCCGGGTGTATTTGTGATGCGGCTGTGCGGTGTTCCTGAAGAATACTTCTTGTTGGATTCTGCGATGCAGAGGCAGTTCCTCCGTGAGCTCCAAGAGGAACACAAGCTGCACATTGAATACTTTTGCAATTCGACGATCCACTATCTCCAACGAACCAGCGCGAGACCAGTGCGCTATTCCACGCTCAAAAGTATGATTGATTATTACCGCGTCTCCATAAGGTATCCTGTGAAAGTATTATCGATTGAAGCACATAGCCAAAATAATCAGATGGATGCGGAATGCGTCAACGCCGACAGCCCAGCTTTAAGACTTCCGCCGGAAATTTTAAAGGACGTACTGCAGTCATTGGCCACTATTGACCGGCAGCGCTGCCGCCGGGTCTGTCCACTGTGGGAAGAACTGCTGACGGCGTCGGAACGTGGTCAGGATGTTCATGTTCAGTTGGCGGCAGATCACTGGATTCCGCATTACAGCGCATACGCTTGTCTTTTTAAGTGCATCACGCCAGTCACGCGCACCATCTGCATACGCGAGTCCGTTAGCGAAACTCTTCGCTACCCACAATTCGAAGATTATACAGTTGCCGGTCAAGCGTTGGGCTACATTGGCAAGGTCGTCGGCACTGTCGGTGCACGCATTGAACGCGTGATTCTGTCCCATCGTCGGCTTAGCAATGAGAATGCGAGCCGTACTTTGCCAGGCTACTTGAGCAGTTTAGCTGCAACATACTTGCGTCACACGGTATGGTGTGATCGCATAATCTGGACCGATTATTCTCTATCGGTCTCTGCACCCGTATACAACATCCACTTCCATATTCCACGGGCGGTTTTCCGTCTGCACCACACTGACGCCCTGCAGATTTGGGATTTATTCGAGGAACATTGCCAGCAGCGAAAGCTCGTGGATATGGATCGTATTACTCAGGGGACTGCATATCACACCCGGTCAAAATTCTCAGAGTGCGGTCAGATTACCGAGGTATGGCTGGAGAGCTTCGTTTGCACTGCCTATCCATTTGCAACGATCATGGTTTTTTTTAAAGATTCTGATGGCGTATCAGAGCAGTGATCCGCGTCCCGCTTCGAGCTATTTCCAGTGGAACTGGACTTTGGAAGATCTTGACAGTCTGGACATTCGGAAACTGAATAAGATCTGCTTGTGTGTTCTGTCCGGTTACGTGACCGAGGCGAGCAACGCCTCGTCGGCGATTAGTGAAACCCCTGGAGAAGGTGAAGAGATAGGCGAAAGTGATGGAAAGGACAAGGTGAAAAGCCAAAGATTTTCAGTGTAAAATTAGGTTATATACCAGATACTGGCACAAGCCGATTGCACATGTGTAGCCGGCAAAACTGTTAACATGTTAACGGTTAACGCATTAACATGTGAGCCGGGCGAACATGTTAACGTTAACATTCTCGCCGGGCCCAAATGTTAACGACCAAAATCGTACACGCTGTACATGGATATATGGGTAAACAAATCCTCTAATGTATTTAATGATATTTACCAGCATCGAGTTTAATTATTTTGCCGCTATTGCAAGAAACGTTTTTATTAAGGGGTTGAAAAATGAATGTCGCAAAATAGCAAGCAAAAGGGGCATAAAACGGAAACAAAACGCACAATTGCGGGAACAAGAAGATGACATAAATATCAGTCAGTTACAATTATTGTTTTTCGAAAGGAAATCAGCAAATTTCTTGGATCAGTAATTAACGACTTAAACTAAAAGTATGTTTTGACATGAAATTTCTACACATACTTTCTGCTTATTTACTTACCAATGCGCATACCTGCGCTCGGCTGTTTAACTTGCTAGGTAGACAGACAGCCTAGCATCTGTAATTTGTGTATCTGCAATTGTGGTGCAATTAATGCTGTGACAGTTTATTATTAATTTGTGAGATTACTATCGCACATAATATGCGTTAACATCCTTGCCGGGTCGTCCGTGTTAGCGTAACATCCCCGCCCGGCACCAATGTTAACGGTGGTTCCGGGCGGTGGTAATTTTGTAACGCTTGTCAACTGCCTTAATGTCGGTGGATATCTATTTATACAGTATGTGGCATAACATTATAGCAGTTGTTGGTCACAGTTTGTCATGCTCCGCACTTGTCGCACAAAGCACGCACTCTGTTCGCTGCAGAAATATATTAATTTTGTGCCCACCCCAAATGCCAAAGTCTCTTTTCGCAAAAACCTGGCCAAAATATATCACTCACACCAGAGCTGCCCATTTCTGAATTTCTCATATCCATTCCCCTCTCCAGAAATTCTCTTTTTCACCCTAATTTTACACTCATTTTTTATCACCTATTACAATTTTTCCTTTGAAGCATATGCGAGTTACAATTATTGTTTTTCGAAAAGAAATCAGCAGTTTTCCTGAATCAATAATTTACGATCTAAACTAGAAGTATATTTCGGCTCAAAATTTCTACGCCTACTTTCTGCTTATTAATTACTTAACTTAGCTTACTACTGTGCCTATCTGCGGTCGGCTGTTAGCCTGTTGGGTAGACAGACAGCCAGCATACAGGCTCCAGCACACATGCAGAGGCGTTTTTGGATTCGACGTGGATAGGGGTGCATTTATGCAGTGCATAAAAAAACAACTGTTTACTGCTGTACACAAATCTGTTCACGGTACATGTGATCGGCATCCTACAAACATAAGTAGGTGCTCGTAGTCGGCATCCATATTTTTAAAATGGTAACATCTTCGCCCGGCACCTATGAATGTTTATAACCGCAATGTTGACTACTGTACAGCCTATCGAACGGGTAAATTATTAAATGCTCGTATAGCGTAAAGATCATAAACAAAAAAGAATTGTGTTTTCGTAGGTGTAAACGAAATTCATAACAAAACTTTAAAAAAACGTACCGGTTTTGTCTTACATTACATTTTTTTGTAGGAGGCCAGTCAATATAAATGACCGTGACATATTCATAAGCCGCAGCTCACCCATTGAGATTCCATACTTAATCGCACAAAAGAGCAAGTTACGATTTAATCCAACAGCGATAATCGTAGGCATGGATATTCGACATGCATAATTTTTTTTAAAAATGTGAGCATCCCCGCCGAGCACTCATGTTCTCAAATTCAGTGCAGATCGCAGACTAAATATACAGAATAAAGAAAACACAAAGAACGAGTAGCCTTGAACGTAGAAAGTATTAGCCTTAGCAGAAAATTAAGCGTTTGTACAAGCGTTTAATGAGAGCGGTTTATGTTGATAATTTAGCAGAATCCGATTACCGCACAGTTATAGCGTGAACATCCCAGCCCGGCTCGCCTGTTAACGGCGTTAACAAAAAGCTTTACTTCCTTTAAAATTGCTTTTCCTTGTTTAACAAACAGCAAGCGCAAAAGAAGTCCACTTTTGGAAATTAAAACCTCCTCTGTTGTAAATGTAATATAACATGACCGCTTCATGAAAAACTGCAAAATTAATGCCTCAAATTTTAAAATAACGTGCTTTTGAAAGTAACATAAATTTTCGTCAGCAGTTTCGAACAATTGTGTATTAAGGCGCAGTTAAATTTTGTAGTTTTCGTATTTCTCCAACTATTGCTATTATAGCTATTGCTATTATTATTGCCTACAGTATTACTGTACATTACGGTGCCGCACCGAACTATGCCAGTTTAATTTAGTACACGAACAAGATCAGTATTGTCACTGCTTGAGAACAGGCAATTCGTACAGGACTTCAGACCGGGTCTAAATGTGATTTGAACTTGATTTTAGTCCATGATTCGTGAACTGCTATCATTTTGCTGCGGAGATTGAGTGAACAGCTTGCATGATTTTGGTCGTTAACATTTGGGCCCGGCGGGAATGTTAACGTTAACATTCTAGCCCGGCTCACATGTTAATGCGTTAACCGTTAACATGTTAACTGTTTTGCCGGCTACACACGTGCAGTAAATACGTCGTGCGTTTCTTTCTTTTACTGCGCAATAAGTCGAACGTTCGGCACGTTCTTCGCTAAAGGGGTATGTTTTATTGCCGGAAAGTTCGCTAAGCAACCGGGGACCATAGGTTCAAATTCATTTCACTGCCTCTCTCAGACGGCATTTACTCAGCAATTAATAGTCCAGCGATCGTTAGAAGAAATGGTGCAGCTGTTTCGGAACACTATGCGTCGTAAAATTTTGCGGCTACGGCTAAAGGAAGGGAGTGTGTTTGAATATACTCGTTGTTTGATCGGTCGAAATATGTAGGTGGACGCGCTCCTACAAACCGGTGGACGGCGCATCATCCAATCACCAAAGAAGTAACCAACCTCCACGATTTAGTCGGTTGAAGGAATGCTGACAGATTGGTAAATCTTGGTTGGATCCATGAATTAAATAAAATTTTTAATGTGAACTTATTTCTTTTTTTTGCCACTGAGCTTAACGACATGCGACCATTATGATGATGCGCAGAAATTTCGTGTGCCTTTGAGAGCGTAAAGTAACACTTTTCCAGCCCAGAAAACTGAGCACCACACTACCACTACTGCTACACTACCACTACCACTACTGTCCAGTGTTACCACTACTGTTGCGACTTTGTGTGTAGATATTGCTCGAAGGTTAAGAACCATCCGCTGGTGGAGCACTGAGCATCTATTTTTACCCATTAAAAACATGCAGACTCTTACTGATTGCTTTCACCTTCTTACAAATAAATTCTTAGACCGCAAAGGTTTGCAGCAGTTAGTTAGTTCTAGTACTTAATCAATATAGCGCCCTTCCGGTTCCCCGTCAGAGCTTTCGCTGGTGGACCATGACAAATCTCCTGCCTTCGTCATACAATGAGACAGTGCATACAGACAGAATCTGTTCACCTTCAGAACATCTAAACGGTCAAGTGTGCCATACATCCAATCCTGTTGTGAGTGATGCTGAAAAGGTCGCGGATCGCAGCCGTGACATGCTATAACAAAACAAAAAACAACCCCAAGGTCACCTCTAAGATCTGGCAGCATCCTTTATAGGAATCTGACCGCATCTGCTCCGCCGTCCACTTTGCGATTACCTCCACATTAACCGGCTGCGTGTCGACCAAGTGTCTTTCAAACACATCCCAAATCTGCGCTGTGTTAAGGCTACGGAGATCGAGGACTGTTCTTGGAGCAAGGGGACGTCGCAAGATCTGTGAGAAGCCGTCCATGTGTGACTTTATCGGTTTGCTAAAGTTTCCGGCATTTCAATTAACCTCGTATTTGCCAAACTCCACGGGCGTTCCAGAGCTTCGCCGTGTGTGGTCTAGTGGCTCCCTATTTGGAAAGGGATCTTAGGGAAGCGGACTGTCTACAACGGCAGGGGCAGGGAGTAAAACGTGGCAGTGGCAGCTACCAGTGGAATGGCAAGCGAAAAAACCTGGACACCCTGGCAACTGGCAAACGATAAAACCTGGCAGATGCCGCATAAAATGTGGCACATTGTACAATCAGTTTAGAACTTCGAAGTTTTCGTGAACCGTATGATTCTACAAATGTTGCCAGTACAGTCAGCTCATGTGTAAAGTGTTGATAGCACTGTCCATTAACGATTTTGATTGCAGCCTTAGATGGACTGTGACCGGATCTGGTGAGCAATCCACTGCGCAATTCGCTCCACGTCCAACCGGAACTCATAGTCGCAATGTTTTTCAAACAGACTCCGACACTGGGCCGCGTTGATGCTGCCCAGATGGAAAGCTGCAAACGGGATGCCAAAGCGACCAGTGCAGCCTGCTGACGTGTGGAACAACAGCCGAAGGTCCTTCCAGACTATCTGATCACACCATAAAGCGTGACGGGTGTACGATGCAGCCTGAACGGCAATATATTGCTGCAGATCGATATCTTTTTCAACGATAATGAAATCGCGATGATACAGAATCACGCGCCCAATTTGGGCCATAATGGCTTTCGCCACCTGTGCTTAGCCGGCATGCGCGTGTGGTTCCGGCTTCGAGTAGTACATACCGCAGTTGTTAATATGCCGAATGCAGATTATTTGTGTGACCGGCGTAAGGTGTTTAAAAATGCACGCAAATGCGCCGTAATTCTGATTTCCGTACTGGATCCGCATTCCAGTGCCCTTCTGCCAGCTGCAGATGGACGACGCGGCAGAGCTCCAGCGAGATTATAATTCCTCCCACAGATAACAGGTGCGTCGGCAACGCTGCTGGTCAATGGTGTCAAGTAAGCAGAAGATCTCCTGGGGAATTACTGGTGGAAGTACCAGACTGAAGTCATCTTTCTTGCCTCCGTAACTTGCATAACTTAGGCGTGTTTGCGACATCGCAACTGCAACTGACCGGCTTCTGTTGATTTTTTTGCGTATACCGGAAACTCGTGACTTTGATAAGTGTTCTCATTATCGTCAAAATCCATGATTTCCACCAAATTTGGGTTCAACTTAACTAGTTTACATTAATTTTCTTCTGAGCGAACATGCATTACCTTCAGCTTGGTTCAAGTTCAAATCGGAAATGCGGACACGGAAATGTTCAAACGCCTCTTTGAAACGCTGTACCGGTATCTCGTGGAGCTGGTTGATACGAGACAGCTGCTCAAGCAAACGCCGACATTGACTGGAGCCGGTACCTAGTACAAAAGTACCCGGCTGGAGTTTTCTGTATTGAAGTACCTCTTTGGACTGCGGAAACGCAATTGCGATACGGGAGTAGATCGCGAAAGCAATGCCCAGCAAGCATTACCTCCACCAAAAGAAATTCTCGTAAATATCGAAAGCCGAACATGAGCACTTTAGCTGGATACCATTTCCAGGGATGAGCAGGGCGATCGCGGAGCAAAACCACCACGTCAGTGTGACTGACATCCGCGGGCGCATCAGAAAACTGAGGAGGTGGCTCCTGATAACTGAAATCGATGTGATTGTTGAGATTCTTCTAGCCAGAGCAGTGTAAAATTCTCCCGTATTCAACGGGCACCGCGCGCTGTTCCGGACACCGGAAATCCACGATCAGGCGAGACGCAGCGCCTTCGACATCCTCCCACCCGACAACGTGCCCATGTTGCTGTAGTCCATCGGCTTCCACATCCACGGCATTCCATGTGCACACCGGCTCTTTGCCGTTTCCGTATAAGGTCTCCATGCGCCAACCGTGTGCTGAATGCGGAGAGGTCCAGTAGCCTGTCTGTGCCTCTTTCAGATTTATTCTCTCTTCGATTAGCTAGCAACGCTGAACAGACCAATGGCAATCACTTGTTTGATGCAGTTAGACGTTAACGGATAAAAATATGTCAGGTCATGAAGAGTTAAATGAACATTAATAATCAGAGCATATTTATAGGCACCTCTCGTCCCACCCTAGTATATTGTAGACATTAGACACCCCGTTTCGCACCGTTTATTTTAAGCACCGTTTCCTCATTCGTTATTGCAGCAAAGGCTGTTGTTTACGCGGAAAATTCAGTTTAGAGTGATTACTTGTTGATAATGTAGAACTGAACAAGTGTAATTATTAATAACCTTCGAACATGACGATATAACGATTTGTACTGACACGATCACTGTGTAGCAGAATGAAAGCTAAATTCACCTTGTTCAATCGCATGCTTTGTGAATTGACGTCCAACCTGCTTTGTCATGTAAAATAAGCAAAAACTTCAACGTTTCGCATCGAATCTTTGCTAATGTTTAAGTACATCATAGTTTGACCTGAACTGCAAAAACAACGCTTTCAACGAATTACTCGTTTCTTACACCTTCTCTCAGTACGATGTCGTCTCCCTACACAATACGTTACTCGACCGAGGAAAACAGAATTTGTTAAGGGATCTTCTTGTTGCAGGCTTCTTGTGCCTCAACTTCTTTAATTTCCGGTTCTGCCGAAGATGCTTCGTTTTCCGCTGATTCTTCCTCTGAGCTCCCGCTACTCTCGCCGTCCTCAGATGATGGGTCGGACTGATACGGATCGTACTGACGAAGGGCGGCGAACTCTTTTTCAAATGCCACGCAACGTGCCAAATTCGTTAAACTGATTTTATTCAGTTTTCTCATATCTAAACTGCTTAGGTTGTCCAGTGTCCACTTTTTACTGGAACAGTAGGCTCCCAGACGTGGATCGCCAGTTTGGCACTCCATCAAAATCTGCACGAATACAACCAATAACCTGCTGCTACTAACTTGCTGCTACCGTTGCCAGCACCATGATATAATATTGATAGGACATTGTGGCAATGTGGGTAAAAGAAATCTCCATACGCCAGTGTTCTACTGGTGTTAATACATTACAGAACCGATACCTCGACAAGTCTCCTTTTATCGGCATTGTAATCGCCGTTAACTGTGTCCTCTGTCCACTGCGCTACGGTATCTTTATCCAGAAGGTCAGAGCAATCCATGTGCATTTCCAATAGATCCCAGACCTCTGCGGCATTGACGTTCGTCAAGGTGAAAGCAGCGATGTCGAACTGAAATCTGTTGTGGTACAATTTGTAGCGTATCTGAGAATGCCGCCAGAGGATGCGATCACATACGGACGCCATATGGGCAAGTGTATTAGTTATGTCGTTAACGAATTCCACAAATGTGGCTCTCCCTTCCTCCATCTTTGTCCACTGGCACAACACCAAACGATTGATGCGGAAGCCACCGGCAGAATCTAGGATTTGGTGGATATATCTGATCACAACACCGGCAGATGTGATACTTTCCCAACTTTCTCTCACCTTATAATAAGAAAGATCGTGATTCCGTATACAAACTGTTCGTGTGACGGGAGCGATGTGCTTGGAGAGCGCGCTGTATACTGCGTAAAGGCCAGTTGCAATTTGGACTGGGGTGAACGAACGGTCATATGCAGGCATTTCGACAGCAACAAACTGAGCCACTATTGGGGACGATAGCACTCCTTCCCACAGTTGACAGGTGCGCCGCGAACGCGATCGATGGACGACGTCCATTGACTGAAAGACTTCTGTCAGAAGTTCTATCGGTAACAGCAAACCGCGTTCCCGAGCGGTTGGTGCAGTACTGTCGCTTTCTCCTGGATCAACGAACCCATCATGGTCCTTTCTCTATTCACGCAAAAACATAACGTTATCGAAATGCCTTGTGAAATGAATTAACACAAAACCGGAAATACTTCGTAAGTACAGAATACCTTTTAAAGTACAAGTCAACCAGTAACTGAGGTACTAAAAGTGTTTTGTTTATTCCTTTATTATGCGATGAGACGATAGGGCCGCTTCGAAAAGCTATACTCTGACACAAGACTGTAAAAGCGAATGCGAAGCGGTTGAAAAAATAGGAAAAAGAAATTTACTAAATGTAGGTCGAATCCCGGTACATAGTCCGCAGAGACAAGATCAGCTGGCATTCCTCCTTCCCCTGGGTTTCTTGGTAAGAAGACACTCGTACCAGAGCATTCGTGGTCAGATACCTGTCACCCACCCTGTTCAGTGTAATGTAGAAGTGGCTTGGTTGGAACATTCCGGATTGCAGATCCTCCAACGAAGGAGGTTTGCGAATCTGAACATGGGGGAGCACTTCGCGGACGGTATGTCCATCTAGCGTGACCTCCACCAGCGCATAAGTTTCCAGACCCTCTAATCGACCGATAAGAACCCTTGCTGGATGCCATTTCCACGGATGTGCGGGACAGGTGCGCAGCAGCGCCTGCGCTTCATACCCGTTGTTCTCTGAGGAACCGTTCCCTTGCCATTCTTTCGGCAGTTCATCGGATAGGTTGGTGGAGCAAGCGAAAAGCTTTCCGTATTCAACCGGGACCGCTGTCTGCCCTGGACATCCAAAATCAACGATCAAATGCGAAGGAACTCCTTCTGTTTCTTCCAAGTCGATGACATGGCCGTGCTGGAGCATTCCATCAACTTCCATGTCAACTGCGTTCATTTTGTACACTAAGCGATCAGAATCTTCGTAGAGAAGCATGCTTTATTGGTTTTTCTGGTTTATTGAAACTTAAGTTTATAAGAACTAAGAAGCGAAACAATTTAACCTGACAGAATTTAGACTTCAAACTGAAAAGTGTTTCGATGTCGCATTCCTCACGTTTGAATAGCGCGTATTGCACCAGTTATTAGAACTGATATCTCCGTTTAGAAAGAATGAAGAAGATATTTTATCAAGTTTTGCTTGAACAAAAGCGCATTACATCTTATCAACTGACAAACGGTAACAGATAGGCGATAAACGTCTCATGTATCCGTAATGTCCACTACCCAACTGGAAAGCTTCTCGTGCGTGGTTCACGTTTGCTGTTCACCTGTTTTATTAGTTTTGGCGTTTTATAATGCTAATATTTTATATCTCTATAATTGTGCAAACTGCAAAGTAACCTTTTCCAGACCGCGGAAAATGCGTTGACTTTCGCGTTGGCAACATTGGCGGGACTGCTCAGCTTCCGGGAAAATGAGCCGTCCTAAGTACATTGAACGTTCAATATGAACATCTGCATAAATGCTTATGTTCCGAGAAGTAAATTAAGGAAACTAGAATATACGCCATTTTGTGACGTTCAAATATCAAGGAAAATCACGCCTTCGGAAATCACGGAACTACCGAGTGCAGCTTTCTGCCCAAAACAAGGGATTCGGAAACATTTTAGGGAACATTATGTAGATATTAAGAAACACTGCAGATTTCGAAACATTTTAGAGGTTTCACTTAGATTTCTTTGTTTTTTGTTTCTCAGTTTTTTGTTTTGGCTAAAGTGCAGAGCGAAATAATCCATGTGCACATGAAAGTTGTGTTTCCGCTTTGTCTTCTGCGTCAAAAATGATGCGCTTTTTGGGATCGTGAACGGTTTTTCAACCAACCTACAGGAAAACTGCGTAAAGAAACCGCAATTGTTAGTGAAAAATCTTAACCGGTGGTGCGCTTGCAGGCAAGCCTATACAATAGTAGATGCTTTTAGCGCTAAATCGGGGCACAAGAATCGACTGTGTTCATTGTTCATGTACACTTTCGATCAGTGTACTGTATGTAACGTATGTAACACGCCTTGTACTGTATGTAAAGATGGTGTGCCTCTTATGCACGTACTGTACCAGTTATAATGCTGCTTACTTAAAGTTTCCCAAAACTATTTCAGCAGCCCTATGTGGTAATTTCAGAGAACAACATTCGCGCGAAGTCAATGAGCTATTTTCTTGAAATACACGCATGAAGTAATATTTTGCTGCGGCCAATGTCAAAACGCCAACGGAATCTTCTGCCGGTGGAATTTTTATATGGTCAAAATCCGACGGAACTTCCTATGAGAAAATTTCTTATCAAAAAACTAAACTGGTGTAAACATAAACTAATCCAATAAGTGCTGTACCTTCAGCTACAAGCATAACATGATCGTAAAGTCGGTAAAGATGTATAATATATAAACACGTATAGCATACTGTGTAATAACACAAACTGTTTTAACCTATGAAAGCAACATATATTGCCTACAATTTAAGAGGTTAAAAACAACGCTAATCATCAGAAGCAACCACAACATCAGTCATTCAAAGGAATCCACCAGCAATCTGTTTTAGGCAGTTCATGCATCACGCTCAACGCGATGCTCAAGTCATCGAGATGCGTAGTGCTATATTGTTAATGGACCGCAGCATTGCAGTTATTATAATTTTTTTCAAGTTTTACGTGGGCGGTCTACAAAGAATTCGATCAGTTGCTTTTCGTAAATATTGTTTTTCGTTAAGCCGTATTAACCTTGTTAAGGTGGCGCCAGTTTTTTTCCACGATTATCAATCATTCCTACCTTCCATCTCCTAAGAAAACTCGACCAGTCAGAATTTGCCAGCATGCATTTGTACAAGAACGAAAAGCGAGCCGTGAACACATGGAATGCCGTGGACGTGGAAGTCAATGGCCTCCAGTAGCACGGACACGTTGTTGGCCTGGAAGATGTCGAAGGAGCCGCGCCGCATCTAATTGTGGATTTCGGCTGTTCGGAACATCGAGCGGTGCCCGTTGAATACGGGAAAATTTTCCACTGCGCTGGTAAACAAAGCATCAGTAGGCCCTGTGTCGGTTGGCACCCTAACGTCTTCAGTGACACTGAGGCAACGTATCTAAAGCAAGTCGAGATACTGATGCGAGACCATCCGTCTCATCCGTGGAAATGGTACCCGGCCAAACGAATCATGTCTGGGTTGCCTTATTTGCTAGATTATGTTTTGGTGGAGATCGAGCTGGCTGGTCAGTGTTCCCGCGAACTGCTTCACTGGACTCAAGTGCGTCGCCTGTCCTCCAAGGAGACAATTCAGGGTCGAAAACTGCGACCGAGTTTTTTCGCCGTATACTTCGACTGCGTTGCTAAAGAGTACTGGACTCTGCTGAAGCCAGAGATGGTAGATCTACTAAATCCGGAAGCAGATCATCCTCGCTGTTCTCAGGATTCGAGCTCTGGGTGCGAAGTTCAGACGCAACTTCCAGACAACGATCCCAAAACGACACCCAGTGGCGCAAAGGGGGTGTGTCAACCGGCAAATTGTTTGAGTTTGACACTCCCTGTTCTTCAAAAGCGGTTGCTCCCCGTCGATTTTTTATAGGTTATAAAGCCGAGTCGCCCCCCCCCCCAGTCAGTTTTTGACTCCCTTGCCACTGGTATCGTCGATACGAGTGACAAATCTTAGAGAGGCATTCGCAGAGTATCGCGTTTATATACATAACGATTCAAGAAGGCAGGGAACTCACGACAGAAATGAAGACGAAATGCAAGCAGCCAGGTTCTGACAACGTCCTTTTGGTTCTTCCACCGGAGATTTTACAAGAGGTCTTCCTCTCACTGGACACCATTGACCGGGTGCGCTGCCGGCGAACTTGTCATCTCTGGGAGGAGATTTTGACCTCACCGGAGCTCAGCTACGATGTCCGCGTGAAGCTTAACAGAAAAAAGGACGTTTTGCCTGATATGGTACGGAATTCGATTTACGCCACGTACTCTTGTATCTTCAAACACATCACACCAGCCACACGCACCGTATTCGTACGTAATGCCTTCATCCGTGACGCGAGCAGGCCCTGTTTTGAGACGCACACCTACGTCGGCCGAGCCTTGAGCTATATTAGCCAGGCCGCGGAAAGCGTTGGCACCCGGCTTGACCGCGTGGTTTTGGCGCAAAACCCACACCGCCATAGGAAAATCTGCTGGGGTGCCCGACTGCACGAAAGGGGTTGTCTCGTAACCCGCTGGTCTGTGGAACAGTACTTTGTTGATTTAGACTATACGTATCCGCGCTTGGCGCCCTGGTGTGATCGCATAATCTGGACCGATTACGCCATGTCGTTATACGATCCCGGCATATACCACATTTCCTTCCGTGCTAAGCGGGCGGTGTTCCTTCTGAACAGTTTCGACTCCGCGCTGCTTTGGGATGTATTCGAGGAGCATTTGGTTGAAACGGGACCGTTAGATATGGAAAAGATCGCCAGCTGGACGGCCGATCAGATCCTGTCAAAGTCTGAAAACTGTCATCGGATCATAAAGGTGACGCTTGGGTTATTTACGGTGGTGCACTAAAACTGCAATAATTACCTGTTATGTAGATTCTAAAGGCGTACCAGAGCTCCGATGCGCGTCCTTCGGCGCAGTTTCAAAAACAGGATTGGACGTTGGACACTCTGGATTGTTTGGATGTTCGGAAATTAAATAAAATCTGTTTAGCAGCTCTGTCCAGTTTGCGGCAGAGTCGATCGAAATATCATCGCCGACCAGTGAAACGGTTGAGCCTCTGAGAAAGAGACGAGCAGTCTAGTGGAATTTTTAATTTACCTTTTTCAGGCCATAGAACATCTTGCAGTGTACCATCGTTAACAAAATTCAGAAATCAGTAACGACTACCATATCAATTTTCGTTATTAACAATTTGGCTCATTGTTTCGTTGGATTGGTGACGCTGTCAAAGCTCTAAGTTAAGACGTGAGACGGTGCTGCCCAGTGAATGTCCATTGAAATATTTAATTTTAGCTTCTAATTATGAATATGCCGTCCATGTCCACAGAATGCTTCCGAGTCATGAAATTTACTATAGACTATCGCCGTGTCTTTTAAACGCAATATACAGTACAACACTGGCATGGATGTTGAGCAGTCTGAACAAGTGCACGGAAACTAAATCGAATTTGTTTGCATATTCTGTCGAGTTGTACGGGAGAACCACCAAGGCTTGGTGCATACTGCATGCATACTGCGCCAACAGTCCCGATTTGTTCGAATCGTGTATAGCCAGTATAGGCACCTTATGCGCATTAAATGTATGTGCGACACTGTGCGTTTATTCACGGTCTGTTAATTATGTTTGGAAATCTTTAATCTGCGGAAGCGCGGACAAATGAACAATATCAAAGTTTTTTAGTCGGACATTAAAACCTGAAAACTGCACTATGTAAATGCTAAACAGGTATGTGAAAAATCAAAGAACCAACTTTTGCACCCTTACTTTAGTGATCATCACCAACCTTCTATTGTCATTAGCAACAATACATTTGCCCCTATAAAGTGAACACATAATCATATTTATTCGCATAGAAAATCGAATATGGATACACTGAGACACATTAGTAACCGTCATTACAGATATCTCTGTTTTGTGAAAGGTTAGTGCTCAGCTAACTCCACCAAGCAATGCAAATCCAGTTGAAAAAGTGTCGATATACAGTATACTAGGAGACCCGCGCAAGTTGCGCGGAATAAATAAGCGATGAATAAATCATTGCGAAAAATAATTGCTTGCAACTGCTTCTATCTGTATAGATCTAATGGTAAGTAGTTTTTCTAGGGCAGTAGAGAATTATAAAGACGTCGATTACATACTATAGTCAACAATGGAAGCCTTGAAATTGCTGTCACTTCTTGTTCTTTTTAGATTTTTTTATCCCGTCGGCTTCCTGGACGACCATAGACATGAGCATTTAGAATTTTTCAAATTTTTTTCCCGGAAATGAGCCGGCTTTCGGCTCAGCTCCAGAACGCACCCTTTGTACCATAACAGTAACTAATCATCGATTATATTTGGGTGACTACTCCACACACAACCATTC